AGGATCCCCCTCTGGGTTGCACTCGTGCAGGTAAATTAGTTGTGCATGCCAAATGGGATGATGCAAAATGGAAAAAAAAAAAAAAAAAAGAAGAAGAAGAAGACATCCTTGCGAATTGCGACAGTCTTGTCGGGGGATAACACTATGTGCTAGTCTTTCTTTTGGTGGATTTGCGAGGCGGGGGCGGGCACAGCCGTCTCGTTGGTTTGCCCTGTTAAGTGGGAAGTGGATGCCTCTCACAGCGACGGCATCGCAGAGGTGTGCAGCAGAGCTGTGTCATAATGGCCGCTCTCCACTTCGCCGCCCTGCAATGACATCATATCTCGCGGAACTGGCTGGAGCGATGCTGATGGTGCAGGCGAATGAGGAAAAGCGAAATGAAAAGTGAAATGACGTAGACGAAGTCAAAATGGTACTTAAGCTTGAATAAATCCAAAAGGTTGTTATTAAAGAAAATGTAGAGCATCTTCATCTTCTCCTTAGCCGGAAGGTAATCAAAAAGCTGAATGCAGTAAGCAGAAAAATACAAATCCATAATTTCACACATAAGCAAAATGGCTAGACTGGAGTAAAGGGAAGACTTGGCCGAATATCTCAGCTTAATTATTCTCTCCATAAAAGATTTCAGATTGGTAAAAATGAAACATAGCAACAGGATGGAAGTGATGGAGACGACGTAGTTTTCCAGATTTATATTTATGTGAACAATGTGGAGAACCTTCTTCAGGTCATTAATAAAATCGATGTTAATATTTTTTGCATAAAATAACATGAGGACATGTCCACTGCTGTACGTACAGATAAATCGGTAGTAAATTTCGACCATATAGATGATGTAACACGTTTTTGTAATCTTGTATACACACAAGATAGACATGAGGATCCCCAGGAGGTAAAGTAACATTCCAGTGAAGGAAGAACTTTGGTTAATTCTGATCTGCTCCTTAATTACGTCATCCAGGAGGAAGCACAAATTTTTTGCCATATATTCTAGTGACTTAATATCCTGCATAAGGATTTCTTTTTTTTTTTTCTTTTCTGCGTTTGCTTTGTTTCGCTTGAAGAAGTCCCTCACACTCTTCAGCGTCCTGTACGATCTCTCGATGCTCGTGGAGAGGAACTCGGAGATGTGCCCCCTCCGTGGGGGCGCTGCACCGTCACCGTTATTGTTAGCGGCCTTATCAATATTTGCAACGTTTTGCTTCTGACCTGTGGAGCGATCCCCCTTGCGGGTACCCCCCTTCGGCAGCATGTCGCTGTGCTGGAAAAACCGTCGAACGGAGCAGATACCCCTCAACCGGGAGAAGAAGGCTGCCCCTTTCTTCTGCTTCTCCGTCTTCTTTTTCCCCTTCTGCTTCACCCTCTCATTCTCCTCTTCCGACGCGGCCGTCGCTTCTGGGCCCAGTTCCACCCCCCCCATTTGGAAGTCCACCATTTCGGTGCCCCCCTGCTGCTGCCTCAAGTGCAGATGCTTCTCCTCCCCCTCAGTTGTTTTGAAAAAGAGGAAGCGCCCCGTATAATAGACATGCTTCCTGTCGCCCACAGAGCTTCCCGACTTGATGCTTCTCTTGTAGAGGGAGCTGCTACTTCCCATTTTGTTCATCTGTGCAGTGCTAAGAATGCTGTCAGGTTGCTGTGCCCTGGGGTTGTAGTGGCAACCGTCGCCATCATCCGCATCGTCTGCCTCGTCCCCATCCGTGTGGCTCCCAGCTGCCGTCTCTTCCCCCCTCGAACGGGCAAGTGGGCTGGGCTCCCCCCTGTGCGGCTTTGCTATCTCGCGCCTGCTGTCACGCTTGGACAGGTTTGACAGGTTGGACTTCTTCAACCTTTTCGGCAGGTTCTCCTCTTCCTCAAAGGTGCGCAAATCCTCCTGGATCTCCTCCCCCATGCACGTCTCTTCATCGTCTTCCCCGCCAGGGAGCATCTCACCCAAGTCAAGGTCATTTTCCTTTTTCATGAAAGTCTCGTATATGTCTTTGTATATCGACTTGTGCGAGCCCAGATACAGGTTGCACTTTTTGAAGGGCTTACATCCGATGTACTCGATTTCTTCCTCCTTTGTGCCATTCCTCGTTTGGGGGAGTTTGCCCCCCGGCGGCTCTTCCCCGGTGGATGTTCCCACCAAGTCGTCACACATTATGGTGGCAAGCTGGTCTGACATCCCCCCCTCGATGTTGGCATCACTCCAGGTGTTCTCACCCCTTCCGATTTTCGCACCACTTCCCATGTTCGAATCTCTCTGCAGCGTGGCGCTGTGGTGGTACGACCCGTCCGTTGAGTGGAGAAAACAGGTCGCGGTCTGCTCCATGGGGATGTCCACGGCAAAGGCGGCGCTGCTGATGCGGCCGCTAATGACGCTTCCAGTGCCACTTCCGATGCCGCTCCCGATGCCACTTCCAATGCCAGTTCCCCCCCTGGGCATACACCCCTGCAGAGTGGAAAATTCGGCCGTGTCTCTGCAATAGAAGGTTTGCATTAACCGCGGGTGATCACACAGAACAAGCAGCTTTTTCTTCAAAGACAACTCGTTTGTTACGAATTTAATTTTGTTTTCAATGATCTTAACCTTCTTAATGGTGACGAAGAAGAAGAAGAGACTGATGTTCGTGTAGGGAGAGTACAAACTGGTGAAGGCAGAAAGTGCACTGACCAATGTCATGCCAGTAACGGACATATAAATCAGCAAATTTTTCATAACTTTAAAAAAAAACGAGTTTTTATTTTTCCCACTGTTTGTATCATAGTCCTGTGAAAACTCTCTATTAACAATGTTAAACTTTTCCTGTAAGACATTCCCAATGTCATATAAGTCAGAGGACTGATCGTATATGTCGTTATTATTCTTCAGAGTGATCATCGAAATTTTGTAAAAGGTAAACCAGATGAGTGGTAATATGAGCAAGCAGCCAATAACGAATTGACAAATCTTCTGTTTGTTTCTATTTCTGATTTTTTTGTTGTAGTTTTCCATTTGTTTCATTAAGTCTTCACTTACGTAGAGTAATCTTCTCATAAAATTTGCCTTAACATGTTCAGGTAAAATATTTTTCTTATTTTTCATTTTTGTGAGTGCATTGTAAAAATAGTTAAATTTGAACAGCCCATTTGCCGTCTCCTCATCTTCGTACGTAACATATGTGTAAATTAAGCTAATAGGGATGATGAGATAAATAAACAGAACTAAGCACGTGATGTCTATATACCATATAAAGAGCTTCAGTGCTGTGGTGAGGAAGCCGAGTATTTCGAAAACCAGCATGGACAACAGAGAGAGGCACAAGACGAAGGAGCAACAGAAAATTATTTTGACGATACTGAAGCTGTTGTCGAAGTCCTTGAACAAATAGTTTTCGAAAAAGACGGAGCCCAGCACTGCCAAGGCGACGTGGTAGACGCACAGGAAGAGCGCAGCCGGGCCGACCATGTTTTCTCCGCGCTGAGAGATTATGTGCGCACGGGGTACGCAGGTTGGAATGGGGGGAAAGAGGGGGGGTTAACTGTTTATAGGCCGCGTGTTAATCCCTTGTCAATCACGCGGGGATTCACTTCTCTATGCCCTGGGTCGGGGCCGCGTAGCAAAACCCTCCTCGCACGCCTTGCCCCGAACGGTAGGCTCCCAGATGGCTACTCCCAAGGGTGCATCCCCGCGGCGGTGAAGACGTTGCAGGCAGCGGTTTCTCGCATGTTGTCCACACGCCGCCATGGGACGTAGCCATCGAGTACACACACTTTTTGTTGTTTTCCCGTGATCCCTCAAAGGTGTTGTGGGCGGGCCAGTCGTCTTGTCCACGGGGGACGAAAAAAGCTGCGAAAACGAAGCGGCCACACAAGTGACGAGCTAATGATGAGCCAATGATCAGCCAAGTGATTAACTACATGATGCGGGAAAATAACGGCATCCCAGGGCCAACTCGACTAGGATAAAAAACACCCTATGGCGCCTAAGAACCCGTCGTGCTTGAGGAACAAAACTTCGGGGGGTGCGTCCCTGCAAGCGGCTTCTCCCCTGTTGCTCTCCTTCAAAAAAAAAAAAAAAAAAGTGCAAAGTGGAAGTGGAAGTGAGATGGCGAGAAAGTGCAGAGTGAAAGCGGCAAAGCGAAAGGACCAAAGCGAAATGGCGAAAGTGAGGTGAAAAAAACTGCAGCCTGCGCACATCCTCGGGTGTGTGTGCGGGACGGCCTTCATGTTGAATCCCAGAAGGGGAAAATTACACCCCGCGTGGGGTCCCTTCAAGAAGGTGTACCAAACGGACGCGAGGGAATAGTTGATACCGTCCCCCTGCCCCTCTCTTGATAGCTTACCCGTCGGTGAAAAGGACAGTGATAGGAGGGTTTCACACGAGTTCCACCCTCCCCGTAGGAGGTCTGCATTTCACAAGTGACACTTCCCCCATCGATTGACTTGCCGCTACACCTGTCATTTGCTTCCCCCTCCTTGGTATGGCAGTACATATAATAGTAGTACACCCCCAGGGTAAGAGACTCCATGATACATTCGTGGTTACTTATGTATTTTCCAGAGAAGAATAGTCTGCGGGGAAGAGACGGTGAAGAGAAAAGAAGAAAAAAAAAAACAACGCATTGAGAAACAAATGGCTTGCAATTTACCATCCATAATGCGCGACTGACAATCCATTGGTGCTCACTTATCGATTGGATCCAATGAAGAGCAACCTTATGGACCGAGCGCATGGCAGCCACGGCTCCCTCGCTCTCCTCCCTTTTTAAGATAGCAAACAGAAGGGGAAAGGTCTCACCTGCGGACTCCGTGGATCCGTGCAAGGAGGTGAACCAAGTAGCCTATATTGTACGATACCATCCTAATGAGGCTCCTTGCTACAGCCTGCCCAAGTGATTTCGTGCCTTCAACATTTTTCGTTTTTACAATGTTGCTCAAGAATCCGAAGCACGCTGCCAGGGCGTCCTCTGCATACGCGGGGGCGCCGATGCGAGCTGCGTCTTTTCGAATATGTCTCAGGGTTAGGTCGAATGGGGGAGCGTGTCCTAACGGGGAAGATTGCCCCAATGGAGAGGTTGTCCCCTCCCAGGGCGAAGCCAACTGGATAAGCTCTTCAAACGATACCTTCTGTAAAATGAGTTGAGCCAGGCCCATGAGCGTCCCCCCACCGATGGCTGTCCCACCGATCCTTTTATACATATTGGGTCCATTGGACAATAAAATCGAAATGCCGGATCCTATGTTAGCAATCATGAAGGGTTCATAGGGAAGTTTCACTCCAACAGGAACTTGCGTTTTTAAAAATAAATCGTATCTTACCACACTCTTTTTTACACTAAGTAGTTTGTACAGTCCATTCATCACGCAATGCATTTCGTCCTTCCTACTGCACTGTAGAATTAGTTCACCTGGGAAGTCTCTTTCCGGGCACTTGTCTCCCTCACCGTTTGCTTTCCCCACATGTTCGCAATTCGCCTGAGTGGGCATAGAGCCTTCTCTCTCTTTCTGCCCCGCCTTTGGGTGCACCAAATAGACGCGAACCGCTTCGCAGGTGGGGAAGGAGTCCAGCAGGGATTTGCTGAAGGGGACCCCCTTGTGCCTATGGCTATCAGTAAGGGGACTCTCCCTCAGCTGTAGCTCCACCGCTAGACTCCGTGACGTCTCGCAGTGGTAGGTACTGGAAACCCACAGGGGGAAGTCCTCCTCGGAAATAAGCCCCCGAAAAATCACCTCATGTTTGACGATCTGATTAATTATATCAAAGAAATACTTGTGAGCCCCCCCACCAGTTAAAAGTATTTTCTGTCTGACCAATCCATTTTCAGTTAAAAAAGATAAGGTCTCGTTAAGTTCATTTGTTTTGAAGAAGTGGAGATGCAGATTCTGTCCCTCTTTAATTCTGATACTTAAGAATGGGGTATTCCCAGTGGGGTGACGTCCATCAGTTATGTATTGGTCACTGAGGTAGACCACTTTTATCAGCGTACCTCCAATGTCCAGTGCACAAGTGTTAAGCTGATCGGTGGTGTTGAAGGAGCTTTCTACGAACTGGTACCTATACTGCTTGCATCCCTTTGGTGGGTCTCCCACTTGTGATGATGCTTTCCCTTCATGCGAGGTATGGCTCGCTCGTGAGTTGTTTCCTCTCCCAGGGGTTAGCAACATCGTGCTCATAATCAACCGCTTTTTGGGGGTCCGTTCGGTGCACCCCTTCAGATAGCAGTGGTGGGAAGTTTAAGTCAGTTTGGGTCCCCCTCCACCTCGGCAGGGAATCAACCGTTAAAGTGAGCATCTACCAGGATCACTACCTCTTGGGCTGCTTCTGAGCCTATCCTATACAGTTAGGTTTACGTCTCGCTTCTCTAACGAGGCCCCCCCGCTGGAATGGAACATACGTGCTGCTCGGCGGGCTCCCTTTGTTGCTACCTTTTGCAAAAGAAGAAGAAAAAAAAATATATATATATATCTTCTCTCGTCAGAGTTGGCCACAC